CCTTGGTGAATCAACTCTTGCAGTGTGCCCCAGACGAGGTGTCCCGAAGTAGGACAAGGGTGGACGAATAACCTCTATAGCAGCGTCCTGGCAATCATCCACTCAACCAGTCACGAACCAAACCGTTTGGTAGTGTACACTCCCGACTAGGCCCCTAAGATAGCGTATACTCCAATCTTAGCACGTGGAGGAGTGTGCACTCTTGGTTAAGCCCACGGACGAATATACATTTATGGTTAGGGCCATACTCCGATAATCAACATGAGTAACCTTTCAGGTGAAATGTTTATTCGCGGCTAGGCCCGTAAGGAGCATCATCCACCTTACATCGAAGTAAGCAGCACGATGGATGGAAAGAAGCAGTCATATAATTCAGTTCAAGTTCAATCAGCAGCCTACGAGTAATTCGCTCGCCTGCTAAGAACGTACCACATGCACCCAGTCGCGACATAAATGAGTTGAACACATGGAAAAACAGCCTAGACTAGTAGGTTATTACTCGGGGCAACTGGGAGCTCCACTACCCCCAATAAAGGCAAATTCAAGAAGAAGTAAAGAGGTTCCTAATCGAGCGATTACACGATTTCCAATGCAATGAGGTCATTGATGAGGCACTTCGACGAGACATGACCAACATAAGCAGGTTCCATTTTATTGACAAGATTGAGCACAAGACTGTCCTACATAAATTGTCAAATACAAAGATTACTTATGTTCCAACAAATGCAGCAACTCAGCCTAATGGCACACCGAGGGCAGACATTGTTCTCAACACTCCAGATGATTTATTACTGAAGCAACATATCATCAATAGCCGAGCATCACGGACCTAGTGGTCCAATTCCTCTTGATGCGCACAATTTGGCCCAAGCCAGCCCCAGCTATGCTTTCATAATCGTTCCTACCTGCTCCACGACCCTCGGTTGCCCTTGATTTGTCACCATCTCATCCGTACCGATCTTGCACCACGGCTCCCAGTTGTGCCACCTTGCGGCTTCTATTTGAGGCCAACCAAGCCCACAAGACTTCAAACTTTAAAGCACCCAATGACGAAGCAGAAGACAAGGCTTTATTAACAGCCCCTACTAGCGAAAGACTTAGTAGTGAAGAAGCTTGCAATCCATTCAGATTCTCAACTGATCACCAACCAAGCCTCAAAAGGGCACATGACAAAACATCTAATAATGGCGTAATAATTCTGGGAGTAGCTCACTACGCTTACATCTTTACACCGTTTCCACAAGCAGTTCGAAGTCTCAAGCAGATTACCAAACAAGACCTCGTAGGCTGAGGATTATTTTAGTTGTCCAGTAGTCCAACTTTCCTCGGCTGTATTCACAACAACGACTTCTATGCTCTTCAGTGCGAAAGGGTAAACCAATTCCTCGACACCCATTTGGGTCTATTCTCGAGTGTGAGAGGATAAGCTAATTGCTCTCTAGTGCGAGAGGGTAGCCAATTCCCTAACACCTATCTGGATCTGCTCTCCAGTGTGAGAGGATAAACTAATTGCTCTCCAATGCGAGAGAGTAAATTAATTCCTCGACACCTATGCGGGTCTACTTTCTAGTACGAGAGGATAAACTAATTACTCTCTAGTGCAAGAGGGTAAACCATTCCCTAACACCTATATAGGTTTGCTCTTCAATGCAAGAGGTTAAACTAATTGCTCTCTATTGCAATAGGGTAAATCAATTCCTTGACACCCATATGGGTAATCTCTCTAGTACGAGAGGGTAAACTAATTCCCCAACACCCATCTAGGTAAGCTTTCTAGTGCGAGAAGGCCACATAGCTCAAAAGATCAAATGCTTGAAGACCAACTAGGCAGCGAATGGTCAGGAAGAAACAACAACTTTGCACTCAACAATTTGCTCATCTGACACTTCATCTTCAGCAGCTCCGATATGGGTAGCTCCATCTTTGACTACTTTATCTACAACAGCTAAGAAATTAAACTCAAGCAGTTTCCTCATTTTTGGCAAACAGCCCCGACGAGGCAGCCCAAACCGTGGCCCATGCCATGCCATCTCTTTGGCCCATGCCAAGCCGACTCCTGGCTCCTGCTAGTAGACATGTTGCACCACCCCGACGGTTGCCCTGTGGCAGCACCACCCAAGAAGAAGACAAGGAGAATTAAGTTTTTCTTACATTGGTGCGGTGCGGAGAAGACAAATAAATCAACGAAAGATGATTCTTTTTCTTGTAGGGATAAATAATTGCCTTCTGAAGTTGATTTAATCCCCTACTTAAGGGAGGCTTAAATAGGCTTTGGAGGCGATTTATTCCCCTTTCCTAGAAGAATCTAATTCTAAGTCTAAGTGAGAATCTGCATCAAAGTTGGAGATTTCTACACCTGCTGCCCTTTCCTGTGAGTAGCCTAGCAAGTGAGTAAGAAATAATCAAGAAATTATGGAGGCGACACATTTTCTTTTGGGTGATAAAAGGACAATATTACCCTCGAGGCACATCGGAACTTCTACGCACAAGTAATGGACAATCATGGCACAATCAATGTCAAAAAAAAATCAAAAGTTCGAAATCTGTAATGAATTTTAACAAAATTTCTGTAATGAATCAGTAGATATCATCGATATTCATTGATTTTTCTATATCTTGCTGACATATGCGAAGTTGGAATTTCACCCTCTTTTTCTATATCGATTCTTGATTTTTTAAATATTTTAACGAAAATATATACTTTTGTAGATATTTCACACACTATTAAAAGTAGACTCCTGTATATGTCTTTATACTTGCTCGACACGATATAATGGCATACACAAATTTTTTATTTCTCTATCTATCCACCATAATACACTAGGGACACATATAAAGTTTTGTGCTTTATATGTGAACTCTCTTTAGATTTCATTACTCTCAAACCCAATAAAAGTTCTTCAAGTAACCTTTAATTTTAATTTTAGAGTGCATTTTCGTTCACCCTCATTGATTGTTGTTAAATTAATTTAAATTTTTAAATACGTCATTTAAATCAATTAATCAAATTAACCTAATGACAATCAATGGGAGGTGAGCGTCACTTTAATATTTTTTTTTTAACAAACGATATTATGTACATTAAGTGGGAGGGATGGATTTAGCCTCACAATTGGCTAGCAATGGTGTGGTTCAAACTCGACTCGCCTGAGGCGAAAATCGAACTTAAAACATCTCACTTATAAGTGAATAGGAATACCACTAGATTGTAGTACTAGGTGGTTGCACCACTCCATTTTAGAAATGAACAAAGCTTTTTTTTTTTCTTTTTTTTGGTCAAGAGGTAACAAAGTTACACTGTGAGATCCCACATCGCCCAGGGGAGTGATCCTTATATGTATATTCCTACATAGCACGAGGCATTTTGAGAGCTCACTGGCTTCGGGTTTCGTATGAACTCTGAAGTTAAGCGAGAAGGGGGCTAGAGCAATCCTATGATGGGTGACCCACTGGGAAGTTGCTTGTCAGTTCCCAAAAACAAAACCGTGAGGGAATGGTAAGCCCAAAGCGGACAATATCGTGCTACGGTAGTGGAGTTAGGCCCAGGAAGTGATTCGCCCTGGGCCAGGATGTGACAATTTGGTATCAGAGCCTAACCCTCGTCGTGTGTGTGCCGACGAGGACGTCGGGCTCCTAAGGAGGGTGGATTGTGAGATCCCACATCGCCCAGGAAAGTGATTCTTATATGTATATTCCCATCCCTACCTAGCACGAGGCCTTTTGGGAGCTCACTAGCTTCGGGTTTCATAGGAACTCCGAAGTTAAGTGAGAAGGGGGCTAGAGCAATCCCATGATGGGTGACCCACTGGGAAGTTGCTCGTGAGTTCCCAAAAACAAAACCGTGAGGGAATGGTAAGCCCAAAGTGGACAATATCGTGCTACAGTAGTGGAGTCGGGCTTGGGAAGTGATCTGCCCTGGACGGGGATGTGACATACACTCTTAATTAGGGGTGGTTCGGTATGGGATCCCAAATCCCAAACTGAAAATTTTTGGGACGAGAATTTGAAGACCAATCCCTAACCGAAATTTCGGTATTTTCAATTTTTGGGATTCCTAAAATGTTTTCGGTATTTCGGGATGGATCGGGATTGGATTTTTGATTTTGGGCTTTTGGGTTGAAATTTGAGATTTTTGGGCTATGGACCAAAATTTAGGCTTTTCGCCTAAAATTTTGTTTTCCAATTTCATATCTCTTGAAATTTAGGTTTTTTACTTCATACCAATTTGAAATTTCAGACCAATTGAAATACTAATTCCTTCATACCAAGTTAAATTGGTGTTCCAAAGTTCCAAACTATTTAATTTCATATTTCTATTTCTAATGTAGTCTACTATCAAACTACTTAAATTCAATATTCAACATGCATGCAACCAAAATAAATAAATAATATATATATATATATATATATTTTTTTTTTTGTTCGGTTCGGCATTCCTGAATCATTAAATATGTAATCCCGACTTCCGTATTAAAAGGTTCTGGATTGGTTTGGTATAGATCTCAAAATTTTCGATATTATTGGTTTGAAATTTTTTTGGTATGGATTTTAGTTTGGAATTTCGGGAAAAATTTCCGCCCTACTCTTAATTTAAACGAGGATGTGGGTGGAAATAGAACATTAAATTTTGTATAAAATTGGAATGTAAAAGGTTATACACTTTTATATGTTCCATTCATTGCCAAATGCCAAAGACATGCAAATAGTCTCTTGGAGGAACTTTATTTCACCAAACCTCCAATTGATCCCTCATGATTCTAAATAATTCATCTGCCTCTTTTGTTTTCTTATTATTTTTCTTGGTCGGCAAAAGCAAGCAGTAAAATTCAACCACCACTGAAGGGCATTCTAGGCAACAAAAGCAGCGGCATCTGCAAATCTCTACATTAACCAAGGACAAAATGGTAAACTCCCCATCCGTCGTCAGCCATTTCCCTTCAAGAAAAAATATAAAACCATAAACCCTCATTTTGTTCAGCAGAAAAATAACGAAAGCTTTTCTCTCCCTCTATCTGATCGCTTGCTTTACTTCCAAAACACAAAAACCAGTCAGTTGGATTCAAGTTTTTCACCTGAAAATCCCAACATTTTTAATTTTTCCGACACCCTTTTCAGCTGCAAGTGCGCCGTGAAAGAGAAAAATGTGTGGAGGTGCTATTATTTCTGATTTCATAGCGCCGGCGGCGCGGTCCCGGCGGCTCACCGCCGACTACCTCTGGCCCGATCTCAAAAAACCCAGTTCGGGAAAGCGGTTCTCGAAGCCTTTGAGGTCCGTAATCGTTGACTTGGACTACGATTTCGAGGCTGATTTCCAGGAATTCAAGGACGAGTCCGATGTGGACGAGGACGATGAAATGGTTGATTCCAAGCCCTCTGCTTTCTCTGCCGGAAAGCCCTCTTCTGCCCGTGGTAAAAATCTCCTCTTTCATCCCTTTTACAAAAGATTTTACATTTTATTGTTTTTTTAATTTTATTTAAAGAGTTGATTTATGTTATAATGGTAATTTGTAAATTCTAATTGTTGCTTTATTTAATTTACTTGGAAATTTGTGGCCTTTAATTGAATAGATCTTCTGGGTGAGCTCTTATTATAAGTTTTAATCTTGCTTGTTAATTATATGTGTGTGTGTGTGATATTGTGTAGATTGTTGGGATGATCACTTTAGAAATAACTTGTTTTAGTTCTTGAGTTTTGAATCTGAGGAATTTGTTTAGGTGGGTAGAAAGATCTTCTTGGTAATACTGTACGAGTTGCATCAGTTAAATTCTTAATTAATTATAAAATCATCAATCTAGTTTTTTATTGTTCTTAATTAATTATCTGTTGAAATTTCATAAAACTTGGTTGTTTTCTGTATGCTAGTAATGGATTGTTTGTAATTTATGGTCTATTTCCAATTGTATAAATATCAAGTAGCAAGCTCAGATCCAGAGCCAAATGAAATTTCCAAGCAAGTTTATTTTATGAATAATGATAATTTTTATTCTTGAATTTAACTTTTGTATTAACATCTGCTTGTTTCTTAATATGTTGTTTAATTTGCTTCCTGTATCTTGTGATGATCATGCTTGTGATATGGAGATCAAGTTTGTTGAATATAACTTTTGTATTAACATCTGCTTGTTTCTTAATATGTTGTTTAATTTGCTTCCTGTATCTTGTGATGATCATGCTTGTGATATGGAGATCAAGTTTGTCAGTCCGTGTCTTTCTGATATTTATGAGATCACATCTAGATTCATCATGATTTCATCCATGCAACTTGGAATTTGGTTGGATGGAGTTGCTGCTATTTGATAAAATATTATGCTATAAAACTTGAAAATCTAGAGCTCCTTGTAGACTGTTGTGGTATAAGTCGGCTTTATATTTATGTTAATTTCCCCTTAGTTTTTCTCACCGTTTTAACAGACTACTGATCATCTGTTTTTTAATCCGATTTACGTCTGAACAGATTTGTGACGTTTTCTTGATGGATCATTTTGCTCGTGTTTAATGTTTTTCTCTCTTTTGATCTTGAAGGTTCTGCTGTGAAATCTGTGGAGTTCAATGGGCAAGCTGAGAAATCTGCAAAGAGAAAAAGGAAGAACCAGTACAGGGGAATTCGCCAGCGCCCATGGGGAAAGTGGGCTGCAGAGATCCGCGACCCAAGGAAAGGGGTTCGGGTTTGGCTTGGAACTTTCAACACTGCAGAAGAAGCTGCGAGGGCATATGACGCCGAGGCACGCAGAATTCGTGGTAAGAAAGCTAAGGTTAACTTCCCTGAAGAAACCCCTCGTGCTTCTGCAAAGCGTTCTGTGAAGGCAAATTCTCAGAAACTGATACCCAAGACAAACGTGAATGGCACTGAGTCTAGTCTGAACCAGAATTTCAATTTTGTGAACGACTCAAGTCAGGACTATTACGGTGCTCTGGGTTTTCTGGATGAAAAGCCAACGTTGAATAACTTTGGGTATATGTCTACCTTCCCTGCCAATGGAGATGTTGCACTGAAATCCTCTACTCCATCCGATCCTGCCCCCTTTTATTTGAGTTCCGATCAGGGAAGCAACTCGTTTGATTGTTCTGAGTTCGGCTGGGGAGAACAAGGCTCAAAGACTCCAGAAATCTCATCAGTTCTTTCTTCTGTGATGGAAGAAACTGACGACTCACTGTTTCTGGAGGATGCTAACCCAACGAAGAAGCTGAAGCCCAACTCACGGGATCTGGTGCTTCCTCAGGATAGTACAGGAAAGACATTGTCTGATGAGCTCTCAGCTTTTGAGATGAAGTACTTTCAGACCCCATATCTTGATGGGAGCTGGGATGCTTCAGTGGACGCCTTCCTTAACGGAGACGCAACTCAGGATGGTGGTAATCCAGTGGACCTATGGACCTTTGACGATCTGCCAGCAATTGTTGGAGGAACTTTCTGAGCGATGAACCTTACCCCAGCTTTCCAGTTTATGTAAATAAAGCTACATGTTAGTGAGTTTTTCAATCCTCTGTCAAGTTCGACGTTGTTCATTGTTTCATTTCATGTTATCGTTCACTCAAATTTTATAAAGAGAAAGTTGCCGGGTTCTTAACTTCTTGTGATTGCAGGATGTGTTTCGGGTTGGAGTGCATCTGTGCAAGCTGATGACATGGATAAGGCTTGTACGGGGGAGTATTTAAGCCGTAGCTAATGGCGTATGGAGATCGTATAGGTATTAGGATTACTTTCACCTCCAAAGAACTTGTGGTTTCTGAACTTTCATGTTTGTAACGATGAAATTGTGTGAGTTATGATGACACTGAAACCTCATAATTTTGTACTTGTTAAAATTTATTTCGGTCTTCCTTTTTACAAGAGGCCATCAGATTTTGCATTGTTTGGTTCAGTTCTATGTACTTTTGACTTGGTGTTTGTAGAGAGAGAGAAATCTGTATGACAATCTGACCTTGGAGGATGACGGAATTACCAAAAGGCCGTACCATTTTCGTTTCGTGTTTTTTCACAGATTGAGATGGCGCACACGACATTAGCTTACTGTAAGTGGCATGGAATTGGTCGTACCGTCCGGGTTTTATGCTTTAACTGAACACATGCATTGGCCATGTGAAGGGTGTTGTCGCTATGCTCTGCATGTCTGCCATTTGTTTCTCTCTGTCATGATGCTTAAATTGCGGAATACCGACATGTGTCGGTGCCATTGGCACGTAGTTCTTGTGTAGTCGGGTGTAACCGTTTCACTGCTTCTCTCTATTTCGCTCATCACTGGAGTAACCGTTTCATTACCTCTTGTTTTTCTTAGCTGTAACCGTTTCATTACCTCTTTCTTCTCTCACGTCATGTGACCGCTAATTTGAGGAGAGGTAAACAGAAGATAATGAAACGGTTACACGCTAGATTTTTCCGTGCTTTAGGGCTTTCCAGCTCCAAAATGTGCCTTGGAAGCTGGACCCTCCGCCTGCCTCATGCATCAGCAGAAAAGATGGACAAATCAGTATGGTACTGGGGAGATTTTGTCCTTGATGCATGCATGGCAGAACAGATTGCAGCACCTTCCTTCAGTGCTCACAAGGGTGACTTAAGCCATCCTTTTTTTCACTCACATGTTTATGTACAGAAAGCTGACAAATAGGACCGAGGACCAATTGGGAATAGGTGGAGGGACCAAGGTGTGCAGAAAGATGACAAATAGGACCGAGGACCAATTGGGAATAGGATGACAAATAGGACCGAGGACCGACCAATTGGGAATAGGATGACAAATAGGACCGAGGACCAATTGGGAATAGGTGGAGTGACCAAGGTGGGGTGGAAAATTAGTCTAGGGTTAATGGGGCTGCTTATGATTTGAGTTTTGACCATAAAAATGTGGGTTTGAATTAATGGGATTGTAGTTAGTGATGGCTTAGTTTTTTCTAATTGTTAGAATACAAGGGAAGTTTGAACCTAACACACACCTACCTCGTTTGCCTTGTGAAGCTTTGATGATAAACTAAACGAGGTCACCAAATTATCCCAATGTCCCAGCTGTGAAAGATTTTACTCTTTACATTTTTATGTGAAGGTCTTACTCATCACGTGATTAGGTTACTCTTCATATACTGATAAATAAAGTCACTAGTGAGACACTTAGCGACAATCTCCGGTGATACCGAAGATTTCCTCGCATATTGTGGTGGACTGAAAAATCCACTTACGCATGAAGTGCGGGTCAAGCTTATGGTGACTGTGGAGAAAGGCATATATAGAGACCTTTCATGAAAAGGGCTTGGACTAAGTTTATTTTAATAAAAAAACCATGCTATAACTTTATTTAATAAAAAAGACTTAAATTTTAACGAAAAACCCTTAAATTTTAATAAAAAGGACAAAAGAACTTAAATTTTAATGACATAATTTTAATATTCAAAAAAAAATTTAAAAAAAAAATTAAAAATCTGACAGGCGGACCCACGCATCCTCATACTGTTTATGAAACTTCTACATTGTTTGTGAAACTTACGACATTATTTATGAAACTTAATGCACTGTTTATGAAGCTTAACGGTACTACATTCTTCTCTCCTCTCTTGAACTCAATCTCTCTAGCACCGAGAGAAGAAAGCTCTCACTCTCCCACTTACCTTCACAAATCAACCCCAAACTTATATTCGAGGTCTGTGGGATGCAAAGATCACAATGGTGGTCTTACATGTGGGATCAGTGTGGTGTGGACCTCGGCACCATTAATGCCCGAGAGCTTGAAGGTCTTAAACTCAAACCCAGGTGAGGTCTCTACTTACTTTTGAATTTCTGGGTTTTAATCTCACTATGTTGCACTCTGTGATGCTAATTTTGCGTTGAAACTCAAGGGTATCACCCTTTGCAACTTCTGTGCATATGAACCTCAACCCCGACGACAAATTCCAGCAAAATGCCGTCGAGTTTGAAGTCGGCTGGTGTTGGTAATGCATCCATTCTCTCTCTCTCTCTCTCTCTCTCTCTCGTTTCTGGGATGTTTGAATGAAGGATTCGTTGTATCAATTTATATGGGGGATGCGCCCAACTTGTTATATTACGAACTTTGAATGTTTATGGAGACTTCATGCCTCAACTTATGAGTGGAGAAAAACCTATCAATACCACAAAGTACGAATCATGAATGACGTAGAATATACAAATCAACATATGAATCTGTTTGGGCCCAAAATAATATTTTTGGGCCAAGCGTAGGTTTGGCCCAAAGCTTTTCCAAATATATTATGGGTTGCCTGGTGTGGTTGAGTCCTATTGCAAGAAGGAGTAGTTTAGATGAGTAGATGGGTCGAAGAAGTCCCAATACAATAAGGGGGCCTAGTGCAATATGGATTCTCGACTGGCAATGAATACAGCCTGAAAAGGGGGGTGAGCTCAAAGTCCTAATAGAAGTAGGATTGGTCGAGATAAAGTTGGAACAAAATAAGAAGTCCTAATCCGAATGTGGGTTCAACTTGATCTCAAAGAAGATTTGTTGCTATAAACAGAGAGCAGAGCGCATCATTCAGACGACATCCAATTCAACACACAACTGCCCTGCGCAAACCTCTTAAACATCTTGAGATTTTTATTTTCTTTTTCTGCTGACACATCTTCAGTTTGGATAAACAGCACTGTGAAGGCAATTGACGAACATTTTCAATTTGGATAAACAACACTGTTGTCGTAGAATTAGCCGATCAAGGAGCACCTTTAGTTTGGATAAACAGCACTGCGCCGAGGCCGACTGATTACCTATCCAAGTCTCAGTCAAGAAGGGTTTTCGAATCCTTATTGGCATAGGTCATCTTATTAGCCTTCTTGGCGAAGTAAGGTGTTACGAGTTACGACATTTTGCACATTGAACGCCGAGTGGTTTTATGATTGGATACTCACAAGTGAGTTTCAAAGTTAGGCATTCTGATGGTCGAACCACATTTACCATTAAGACATACATCTTCTTTGAGTACTTGTGTCCATATAGTCTGGTGTCGATTCGACGTGCTTATACTCTTACGAATATAATCACTGTGACTGAATTCGGCGTCGAAAATTTGTGAACTTTGCAAAACTAGCAGCCTTGTCTTTAGGCTCGAGAACCCGAAGGCTGAGACTTGTTCATTCCTCGGCCGCCATCGCAAGATCAAGAAGTCAGCAACGCGCTTAACGCATCATCAACAAATTGTACTCCTTGGAAAGCTCGGCCGACGAGTTGGCACGCCCCGTATCAACCGAAGGACGTAGTTAGCTCATTAGTTACTCAGCCTGCACCCCACGTAGGCTTTGTAATTTTTAGGGTTAACATTTTGGCACGCCTAGTGGGACCTAGTGCTAAAACTTCGGAGTTCATGACCATTGAGACACGGTCAGTAAAAAAGAAAACATTCATGGGAAAGTCAACGATAAGGTAGCAAAAAGTAATCACATCCATACGGGTGAGTAAGTTTCATCATAGTCAATCCCAGGGCGTTATGAGAAGCCTTATGCAACAAGACGAGCTTTGTAACGTACAATTTCGTTCTTCTCATTATGCTTCCGAACGAAAACCCACTTGTAGCCAACGAGCTTCACATGTTGAGGAGTAGAAGCTAAAGGTCCAAACACCTTACGTTTCGCAAGCGAATCGAGTTCGACTTGGATTGCTTTTTTCCAGTTTGACCAATTAGTTCTACATCGACATTCATCAATGGAACACGATTCAATGTCATCACTCAACATGATCTCAGTAGCTACTAGCGTATGCTAATGCATCATCGACAATCATCTTATTTCTACGCCACACATCATCTAAGCTAGCATAATAGACCGAAATCTCACGATTCTCAGGAGAAGGATTCATCTCTTTAAGGACGCTTTCATAATCTAGAATTTCATCATGAGTTGGATAGAATGAGTAAACGATAGTCAGATTCATGGTAGGCTCTTCAGGACCTTGTGCTGTGAATTTCCTCTTTCGGGGGTGTGAATGCTTTGAACTAAGAAGACTGCCATGCTTTTGTGTAGGGGCAGATGATTGGCTAGCCGCTAATGTATGTGGATCACCAGAATTGGCATCCCAGGCCTCTAGAAGGGAAGTCCGTCGTACATTTGGTACATCCATCTTTGCAGGCGTATTCGTAGCTGGAATATGTGATCTTGTCACGTGTGCTAGATCGGCGAAAGCATCTGGCATGCTCTGAGCTATGCTCTGGAGATTTAATATGCGTTGCACTTTAGTTTAAGATTGAGCGGTGTGGGGATCTAAATGAGACAAAATGGGAGTCTTCCACTATAATTTGCGTTGTTCTTCAGGAACGTTGACGCTCTTATCTCCCCTTAACGACGGGAAGACTATCTCATAGAAGTGACAATCCGCGAAATGAGCAATAAACAGATCTCCTGTCAAAGGTTCTAAGTAACGAATAATCGAAGGAGAATCATATCCGACATAGATTATCATCTTTCGCTGATGCCCCATTTTTGTACGTAAAGGCTGCGAGATCGGCAGATATACTGTACAACTAAAAACATGCAGATGCGATATGTTGGGTTTGTATCCGGTAACCAACTAAAGGGCACTAAATGGTTGCATTGCAACAGGCCTCAGGCAGACCAACTTTGCTACGTGCAATATTGCATGGCCCTAAGCAGCGATCTGGAGCTTGGTACGTATGACCAACAATTGAGCAATCATTTGTAAGCGTTTAATGAAAGCCTATGCCAGGCCGTTCTAAGTGTGAACATAGGCTACAAGATATGCAACTTCAACCTCAATCGACATACAATAGTCATCAAAAGTTTTAGATATAAACTCTCCAGCATTATCCAATTGAATACATTTGATTGAATAATCAGGATGGTGAGCCCTCAGCTTGATAACCTGTGCCAACACTTTGGAGAATGCAGCGTTCCTTGTGGACAACAAGCACATGTGTGACCAACATGTGGAAAAGTCAACCAAAAATGGTTCGCAGGAGGGCAAATCGGTTCACAAATGTCCCTCGAAATCCGTTGTAAAACAATAGGAGGATTCGAATGAATCTTGTCATAAGAAGGCTTAGTAATAAGCTTTCCCATTGAACATGTTTGACATACGATTCCTTGGATTAAACCTAAGTTGCTGGTTAGTGGATGCCCGTGTGATGATTTGAGGATATAGCGCATCACTATTCATCTAGGATGTCCTAAACAATCATGCTAAAGTGTAAGTTTGTGCGTGGTCCCAGTATTAGGGCTGGCCACATAGTGGCATTCTATGGGCGTATGGTCGTACTATATAAACCACTTGGGATACGCTCCGTCTTCTTTAGAATACGCTTCTAGGCATATTCGTAGGAAGTTATGCATAGAAATTCAACTCCGCTTTCTATGTGGGTTTCAGCAGTGGTAATTGGTATCTCTAATATTCTTGAAACTCAACAACGTTCTTCCGGAACATGGAGAATAGAGTGCCTCATCAATGGTCAAGATTGTACCATTGGACAACATTATACGTGCCTTACCGTATCGCTCTATCAGGTTGGATGAGCCTGAGAGGGTTGTCAGAGGTGCATTCTTAGGTATGAAGTTAGTAAAATAGATACGTTCATGCAAAACTGTATGCGTGGTTGCACTATTTGCCAGACAACTAACTTTCCCACTAGTCATACCTAGAATGAAAAATTAATTTGAATCGGTCACATGCACAAAAGTTCATAAAAAAAAATATCAATTCAAAATAATTTCATTTATTCAAGGATGGTAATTAATTAAAACTTAATATCCAAAAAAAAAAAAATCACCAACAAATAATCCAAATATAAAGGAAAATTGTTCAAAAAACAACCAAAAACAAAGGAGGGGTTCGACCACTAGGTGGAATTTGGCCCCATTGTCTTATTTCAACTAAGAAAAAAAAAAGTCTATGTCTAACATTCTAATCTTCCATAGGGGTGGTATCCTCTTGAAAGTCAGAAACCTCCATCTTTTTAGTCTCCAGTTCTTCCACTTGCACGAAGTTTGATTCAAACTTCTTATGACGATAATGATATTCATCTACAACCTTCTTGGAAGCTTGGCAAACAATGGACAATGGTCCTTTGAACCACATAGATAGCACATATCCTCGTCCATGGTTTTAGGTGCTTTGCCTTTATTCTTGAAGTTCGTGGCCTTGGGAGCGAGGTTTGGGAGCTTCAGGGCTTTGTTTCCTTCCTTAGATGGGCCTTGACTTTGTTAACCTTGGTGAAATGACTTCTGGCCGCCTCTTCCATGCCTCTTTTGGCATGTTGGGTGTTGGTTAGTGCTATAGTGTGCTTCATGCACATCAGTCGCCCCAGAAGGTTGAACTTGATGATTCTTCATCAACAGCTGGTTTTGCATTTCAGCGAGAAGTAAAATAGAGATTAAATTCGACAACTTAGTGAACTTCTGAGCTCTATATTGTTGCTGCATGACAATATTAGAGGCAGAAAAGGTTGAATAGGTCTTCTCCAAGAGATCCTTTTCGGTCAAAGTTTCGTTGCAAAACTTGAGAAGTGATCGGATTCGACAAACTTCAGAGTTATATTCATTCACTGACTTAAGGTCTTGGAAGCGCAAGTGCTTCCAGTCATGTCTTGCTTCAGGCAAGAATATGTTATTTTGGTGATCAAAACGATTAGCCAAAGCGACCCATAGTGCACGTGGATCCTCCTTAACAAGATATTCAGTTTGCAATGCATCATGGATATGTCTTCGGATGAAGATCATAGCAATGGCTTTTTCAGCTTTGCCAACAGGGATATGTCTTGGACCCACTTGAGGTAGTTCTTTCCAGAAACCTCCAAAGTGGTGAAGTCGAGTTTGTTCAAAGTCGACATGTTCCTATCACAAAATAGATGGACAAGATGTGGTTAGTGTAATGGAGAAAAATCAATCAATTCATATAGGAATAGAACATACAGGTTACAATAGACATGTATTGGTTTTATTTTGCATGAAAAACTTGGGGTTTTCAGGGGTGATGTTTTTAAATGAAAACTTCAGGTTTTCAAACAAGACATGTTTGTAAGAAACTTCAGGTTTCGAAATAATTATGAACTTCAGGTTCATATATTCCTGCAGGTGAACACAAATATATACAAAAATATGCAACAAGAATATGCGCAAAAAAAAAAAAAGGAACTTTTAGGTTTACAAGAGAAAAACTAAGCCCACGGGTAGCTTAAAAATAAATTGGTCTGTGCTTCCTAGGCCCAAAAATTGGGCTAGGTGGGGCTGCAGGCCCATGGGAAGAGGAGAAAACCCTCCCCGGGGGGGGGGGGGGTGGTGCATAAGGCACGCCCTAAAAAAAAACACAGGCCACTTAAAAGCTGACCCTTAAAAAAATGTACAGGGGGCCCAAAAAAAATTTCGTTTTTTTTTTCTCTCACAGTCTGGGGGAAAACAATCATTAAGCCAAAATAGGGAACCTAAAGGGTTTTTGGATTACTACAAGTGAGCCAAAAAATACAGGCCAAAAGATGGAGCCCAAAAAATTAGGGAGCAGGCTGAGAGATAAAGCCCAATAGGGCTCGGGTTGGGTCCAAAGACACCCTAGTGCATTCGTCGGGAAAGAAGGCCGGCACTACCGCTTCAAGCGGCCGTGCATTGGGACAACGGTGCTCAGGGCGAGTCTATAGGTCGTGGGAGACGTCAAAGGTGAACAAAGATTTGAAAAAAAAAAATCTCAACATTCATGGTAAAACCCTAGAAATTTGAACCAGGATTATAGAAAAATTCCAATGAATCTCGGTTCAATTTCGGTATGGGACGACTTCTGGTCGTCGTCGACATGAACAAAATGTTCAGGGTGGTGGCTTCAGGCCATCCCCTGGTCTATATAGACAAGGATACCGTCAATGGTGTTGGGTTTTCAGGGTTTGCACCTGGAGCTCTCAGCTTCAGCACGGTTTAGCCACAAACTGCAGGCTTGGGCGAGTTCTCGAGGTCATGGGTTCGAAGAACCTAGGCTGTGGTTTCCGATTGCTTTTTGTTTTCATTCAATTCAATTCATATATAATTCAATTCAAATCATATTCAATTATATGCATAGTCAAGATAATAATATGTTAATTTAATTCAATTTGATGCAATTCATGGCAAATATCAAATTCACATAATCCAACAATTATGATTATGATGCATACACAATTTATGTAGAATCTAAAATTCGTAAAATGTAAAGTTGGGTCATGCATCATGGTGAATGTTCATGCTATTAGGGCTGCAAAAATACCAAGATAAAAACCTTTGTTTTGAAATAACCTGATTGCGTGATGATATGGATGAACTGGTTTGATGCAGGAAAATTCTCTAACCTCAAATTCCTAAGCGCAGTGGTAGGAACGTGCTGATAACATGTTGTGGTCTATTTTATCTAACAAGGTTAAATAGGGTTGGCAGTAGGGAAAGAGAGAGAGAGAGAGATGTATTTGTAGAATTGTAGAGGAATGTGTGTTGTTATCCCTCCTACATTGTGCCTTTATTTACTGTAGTAAAAGGGGAGAAGATACTCCTTCATCCCCAAGGAATACAAGATACAATAGGAAAGGATAACTAGAATCAAATCTAATTTAGGATTTACATAATCACACTTAAACTAGGAATGTTTACAGTAGATTTGTAAATTCACATTATTGCCCATCATTTTGTTTTTTTTGTTTTTTTTTTTGTGTGATAGAAGATTAAATAGTATTTTTACCCTATTTTGGTTGACAATGAGGGTTTTATTAATAGGTAGTTTAGATTAGAGAAGCTATTACTGGCACAAGAAGCGTGCAGAACCTTGTAATAACTTGTGAAAGCATTTCTTTCTTGTAAGAAATCGATGATCTTTCCTTTACGCTGTGGTAGAGAGGAAAATGCTTGGAGCCATGGTATTGACTAAAGGAGGGAGGCAAATTGGGATTTGACAAAATCTTAACTCTTTTAATTGGGCAGCATAAGCAAGTTGAGAAAAGAAAATCATTCCTTGCTTTACATGCTCTACTAAAAGGTTGTGGTATCAATCTAGAAAGGAATAACACAATGCCACAGTTGAAAGAAAGACATCAAATTCCTTCTTCATGTACAAGTAGTTCCATTTAACAATCATAAAACAAACACATAACAGTACAGTCAATTAGCCTAAGCTAACATGATGTTCTTCCATGGATGTTTCATCACAAAATTCGGACTATTTGTGTCTCCGAAAACTCTGCCGTGCATATTCTTTCAAAAGATCATGCTTCTTTCTCCTCGTCTTTTTTCTCTTAGCAGTTGTTTTTCTTGGTGTGATTGTATTGGTTGTAATCTTTTACTTAAAGCCCCAGAAGCCAGTTTTTTCCCTTCAAAATGTAAGCTTGGATTCGTATAAGCTCAACGCCTATTCGGGTTCAACCCTATTTCTTTCATCTGTAATCACATTATCCCTGAATGCTACAAATCCTAGCAAGGTTGGAATCTGGTATAGCCCTTCGGGTCTTGAAACTCTGAGTCTTCATGATGGACTGCCTATTGGAACCATTCGGATTCCTGGTTTCCTTCAGCCTGCTCACAGCAGCAATGTGAGTTTCGAAACTAGGGTTCTGTTTCCATGTGTAAATATCAGCCAGATTGTTGCGGAGGCTTCTTTGCAAGATGATTCAAGGAAGAACATGTTTCAGATGAAAATAGTAGGCGATGTTGGAGCTCACCTGTTGGCATTTCATATAATTCTGTTAAAGATCAAGGTTTGTAGCATCTCATCATTTGGTCAAAGCGTTACTCTCTGAGTGTTCAAGTTATCCAACTCGAAAATCTTCTAAAAGAAAGAAAATACTATCTCTCTCGATTCCCCTCATCTGAGAAAGTTGAATGTTTTTAAATACTTGAACCTCCTTTCTGTTTTGATGGTTTCACTCTAAGTTCCTATTTTCTTGTCTTTTGTAGATTGCGTTGGAGTGTGACTTAAATATTGATTATAAAGAGCTTATGATGAGAAATAAAGTTTACACCATTGGAGGAATTAAAAACCACATTGTATGTCACACTATCCGTCTCAATGACATGACTTGGTCTCTTTTCCTTTGTAAAATTTTGCATGATTTTTATGTGCACCATTATGATAATCCCTAACACACTTTTCAGGCATCCTTTCCTACCAACACCAACGCCAACACCTTCTTCATCAATTGCTCTTTGGCTTTGTACATATAGAAGTGGAAAATTATTGACTCGACAAAAAACCTCGACGCGAAACTTGCTTAATGTTGTTTGTAAAGTTTTGAACCCCAAACTTGGTTGATGTTGTTTGTGACTAGTTATGTAGTTGAATACAAAGTTTATTTTTTATTTTTTATTTTTATTCAATCGTCAATTCAAACTTGAATTCCCTTTCAACATTTAGAAGAGTGATATCACTTAAAATAGATTTAGTGAATACAAATTCTTTGGATAGGATGATGATGAAATTACGAGCAGAGACGTAGACAAACAGGTAGGTCTAGGACTAGTCCTGTCCCTAGTCCTACCCTATCTGAGCTTGACGTTAATTGGTTTACTTTAAACGTTGTTGAAAGCTTGGAACTTTGCTTACGTGGTTTCGGTAAGCATTCACGTGTTCCATGAGACTGCATATCTGCATACTTGCACATCTATCATTTGGTCCTCAGGGGTCAGAAACACTGCTCAAAACATTAAATATGATAATATAATTTGTTGAAATATATATTTTTAAGTATCCAATCACTTTTTGTATAATACTTTTTGTACCACGTCGTATTCTCGGCAAAAAATTTCTCCATGTGGTCCTTCTCAAGTCTAAAGATCACCTAACCTAATCAACTACTCTTTCGAACCTATCATGCCCGAGATTAATGTTGTTTGATCTGATGGATCTATTAGGTAATACTCATTCTTTTGTGGCTGGCTTTTAAGTGACAGAGCAAAATTCACACGGCAAATTTACCTTTGTTTATTGTCCATTTAGGAGCATTGATGCGTACCTTCTGGAATTTGAATATTTCTTATCGCGAACAATGTAAATCAAAATTACACATTAGGATGTCATTATCTGACAAAAAAACATTATTCAGCTTGAAAATATTCAACTTTTTGTTTGGGCCAATCAAATATTCAACAATTGATCATGCGTGTTTCATATGATTAGCTAATACCCTAATTGCCCTTGCCAACACGCAAGGATAATTAGTTCCTCCTCCACTTGTGTTGTAAACCCACATTTGTAATTAGATGCTATGATATTAGGGCATATTTTTACATAAACAACAAAATGATAGTTGATAGTAGCTAGCAAGCATAAAGGTTGAGAAGCTGCTTTCTTGTGCAACAAACGAAGAAAGGATTTACATAATTGTGGTGGTGGTGATGGAGGTGCGCTGACCGGAGGGAAAGAGGGAAAGTGTTGGATTTGGTTTTAATTTGTTTATTTTTTTCCCTTATTTTATTTTATTTTGTTTTATGGCTTTTAGAAACTTAGATAATATAAAAGAATTAATTATTTTATATAATTCATGTGGCACCATATTATTGAACTTGTGAGGCTCACATGTGTTGCACATCAGCATACTAACATAAAAATTGACAAAATTTTAACTGAAATGATCACATTGATGTGGTCCATTAAAAGTCAAAACCAAATTAATTGATCTTGAAATATAGAGACTAAAATGAGAGTTAGGTTAATGCTAGAAACTATTTGTGATAATTATTTATTTATTTATTTGCTATGATTTTTGGGATCATTTTGGTTCTGGTCCCTAATCAACCTAATTGTTAGACTGAAAGCCTTGTTTGTTTAAATATTTTGATCAAGGTCTTTAGCCTCATTTAAGACATTTAACTTATGCATTTAATGTCCCGCAAATTATAAAATTTAGACAAATCAAATAATATTTTTAAAATATAATAAATACTTAAAAATCAATTTTAGAGTAAGGATTGCAAAGTTATATCAGGAGAGAGCTTGGCTAATCAACTTTGCTTGTTGGTGATGGATGTACATATCAAAAGATAGAGAAAAAAGAATAAGACCTTGAAGTGCCCAATGACTAGATGGTGGAATCTAAAGGAGAAAAACAAGCCATTTTTAAGGAGAAAGTAATCACCCAATTCGTTTGGTATAGAGAGGGGGAAGCTAGCCAAATGTGGGATTCCATGGCTAGTTGTATCCGAAAAGTAGCAAAAGGGGTATTAGGAGAGTCCAAGGGCTTTGCTCCACACGAAAAGGAATCATGGTGGTGGAAGGAGGAGGCACAGACAAGGTTAAGGCTAAGAAGGAATGTTGTCAAGCCTTAAACAAGAATAGGACCGATGAAAACAGGTGAAAGGTATAGAATAGGGAAGGAGGAGGCAAAGAAAGCTGTGAGAGAAGCTAAGCTAGCGGCTTTTGACGATATGTATAAGCGACTAGATACCAAAGAAGAAGAGTTGGACATCTATAAACTAGTTAGAGCAAGGGAAAAGAAGACAAGGGACCTAAACCAAAGGTGCATCAAGGATGAGAATGGAAAGGTCTTGCTATAGAGAACGCAGTCAAGGACAGATGGAGAGGTTATTTCATAATCTTTTCAATGAAGGATATGAAATGAGTACTTCTTTGGGGGAGTTGAGTAACTTAGAAGAGTGTAGAAACTACTCCTTTTACAGCCAAATTAGGAAGAAGAAGTGGTTGTAGCATTGAAAAAGATGAAGCATAGAAAAGCAGTGGGGCCAAATGATATATCGATTGAAGTGTGAAAAGTCCTGGATGAGACGGGTATAACATGGCTCACATACCTTTTCAAAAGGATTTTGAAAACAAAGAAGATGCCAAATGAGTGGCGAAACAGCACTTTGGTGCCTATCTACAAGAATAAGGGCGACGTCCAAAACTGCATGAACTATAGGGGTATTAAGTTAACGAGTCATACAATGAAACTCTGGGATAGAGTAATTGAGCATAGACTGAGATAAGAGACACGTGTAACGCCCCGCCCCGAAAATTTACTTTTTCAGGAAATAATTTCGGTGATAGGCCAAAATAAACTCTTGTTTATTTTCTACTATTTATCACAATCCTTTATTTAAATTTATTAATCACTCCAAAGACTATAACCAACATTTACCAAAAAAAACTTAAGATTTAATTTTCTAAGTTTATCACCCCATTTATTTGTCTTAAAACAAATTCCCAGCAAGAGATTAATTCTCGATTATTAAGGCCACATCTAACTCTTGTGAGACTACCTACGTACCTTTTAGCGAGATCAAGCCTTTCGTAGTTCTCCATTCATTTTTATTCCATTTCCCAAATCCTTCAAGTGACTACCAAATGCGAATTAGGTTCAAATAAATGAATCACACCAAATGTATATTATACATGAATTTAGAACATTGAAATGAGCTTAAAAAGACAGCTTCAGCCCTTTAGCCATTCGACACCGCATGCATCGTCGCAGGTGGTTGTTTCCGGCGAACGGAAACCCCAAATTCCTACCAATTCTAAAAAATACTAAATTTTACAGGAAAATAGAGTTCAATGAGAGGGGCAACTTTCATACCTGGGCCAAAAGTCCAATTCGGCTGGGAAATACCTCAACTATCCCACAAACCGCCGGAAACCCTTGAATTTGGGTGTTTTTAACTCGACTCCAAAACAACTATGCCGCCCCCAAACTTGTTTGGGCTTTGTTCCTGGCCTCAAGAGGATGCTAAAGGTGGTGGTGATCTAAGAAATTTGTTTCAGATTTGGTGGATCGACAACTAAGGATCCGCACACCCATCGGTGCGGTTTCCATAATTTCAAGGCCAATTTGTATGAATTTTGGGGTGGAATTGATAGAGAGAAGGTCATGGGGGTATTTCCTAGGTGGTATGTGGCCAGAGGTGCATCAGAAACCATTGTTTCCATCGGTTGGGTCCGGTTGGCAAAAGGGGAAAACAGGTTGAAGGTAATCCCCTCATTCTCTTCTCCCTCCTTTCCCCTCCTTTTTCCCCTCCGCTGTTGGCTCTCTTCCTTTCCTCCCCCCTCTCTTGATTCGGCCACCCCCGTCATTTTCTCTCTTTCCCTTTCCCATCACAGCCACACACGTGGCACATCCATTGCTCCAGAAAATCTGGAGTCTTCTAGATGAGACCGAAATTAAAAAAAATGTCCCTAAATTCAAACGTTAATAACTCTATGGTTATAACTTCATTTCACGAACGGTTTTCGCCTACATGCTCATGAGGTTGAGCTCTATCCAAACATATTAAGGAATATGATAAACTATATGAGAATATAATACGTCCTCGTATAATTACGCTAAGTCAACTAATGGCATTTTCATCTTTTTCACTTCTCTATAAATTTTACGACGTGAATTATAATAATTTCCAGCAGCAAAATTTTAAAGGTTCTCAATTAAATTTCATAACCAGAAATCGATTTATTTTCGATTTTCCCCACATATTCATATATTTAAATTTTCAAGGTATTACAACATGGGTATCGGACTACTAATTCGAGTTCATGCCAGGGCGCTCAACCATGGAGGCAATCTATCTCTTACGAAGATTGATGGAAAGATATAGAGATATGAAAAAGGATTTACACATGGACTTTATAGATTTGGAAAAAAAGCTTATGATAGGGTCCCAAGAGATATTCTTTGGAGGATTTTAGAGAAGAAAGGAGTACGAGTAGTATATATCCAAGCTATAAAGGATATGTATGATGGAGCAAGGATTGCTGAAAGAACTCATGAATGACAAACCAAAACCTTCCCCATAACTGTATGGTTGCATCAAGGCTCATCTTTAAGTTCTTACCTTTTTGCATTAGCAATGGATGAGTTAACGGGACATGTTCAAGATGATATTCCTTGGTGTATGCTTTTCGTAGACGATATAGTATTGATAGATGAAACTCAGGAAGGAGTAAATGTGAAGCTTAAACTTTGGAGAGAAGTGTTGGAATATAAAGATCTTCACCTAAGTTAGTTAAAGACAGAGCATATGGAGTGCAAGTTCAGTCAAATGGAGGCTTAAATGAGTTAATGGTGAGGATTTGATATCAGGAAGTACCAAAGAGCGACCACTTTCGCTACCTAGGATCTATCTTGCGAAAAAACGAAGAGTTGGATAGAGACCTCAACCATAAAATACAAGCTGGATGGATGAAGTGGAAGAGTGCATTCAGCGTATTGTGTGACCGACATATGCCACTAAAGCTCAAGGGAAAATTTTATAGGATGGCAATAAGGCTAACAATGCTTTGTGGCACTGAATGTTGGGCAGTGAAGCATCAACGCATACATAAAATGGGTGTAGCGGAGATGAGAATGCTTCGTTTGA